CAGCTATCTGCTCCCAGGAACAGCCAGGGGGGCTGATGTCATTAAGGAGCTGTCCCAGTTACTTCCCTGGGGAAAGCAGGGACTTGCAGCTTAACGTCCTGGCCCAGCCCAGCAGGAAAACCAACGGCAGCAGAGCCCCAGGGGCTGGGATCCCGGCAGGAGCTGGGATCCAGGGATGGCAGCTGCCCCCTGCAGCTCAGCCAGGGCTTCCTTAGAGAGTGCCAAGAGAAAAAGGGAGTTTTGGACCAAGGAGAAGTCATGGTCGTTGCTGCCAGGCTGATTGAGACTTTGGTTTTTGGCTGGGATTTGTTTTCTGGAGAGGACACAGAGCAGTGTGAAAAGGTCAGGAGCTGGGATGGCAGCTCCACTGCAGGCTCAGCCATGGCTTTCTGAGAAAGGGAGAGATTTCTAATAGAAAAAGGGAGTTTTGAACCAAGGAGAAGTCATGGTCACTGCTGCCAGGCTGACTGCAAACATTGGTTTTTGGCTGGGATTTGTTTTCTGGAGAGGACACAGAGCAGTGTGAAAAGGTCAGAGCTGGGATCCAGGGATGGCAGCTGCCCCCTGCAGCTCAGCCATGGCTTCCTTAGAGATTCCCAAGAGAAAAAGGGCATTTTGAACCAAGGAGAAGTCATGGTCACTGTGCCAGGCTGACTGCAGACACTGGTGTTTGGGTGGGTTTTATTTTCTAGAGAGGACACAGAGCAGTGTGAAAAGGTCAGAGCTGGGATTCAGGGATGGCAGCTCCACTGCACATGGCTCAGCCATGGCTTCCTTAGAAAGGAGAGATTCCCAAGAGAAAAAGGGAGTTTTGAACCAAGGAGAAGTCATGGTCACTGCTGCCAGGCTGACTGCAAACATTGGTTTTTGGGTGGGATTTATTTTCTAGAGAGGACAGAGAGCAGTCAGGAACTGGCCTTCCAGGGATGGCAGCTGCCCCCTGCAGCTCCACTGCACATGGCTCAGCCATGGCTTCCTTAGAAAGGAAGAGATTGCCAAGAGAAAAAGGGAGTTTTGAACCAAGGAGAAGTCATGGTCACTGTGCCAGGCTGATTGAGACTTTGGTTTTTGGCTGGGATTTGTTTTCTGCAGAGGACACAGAGCAGTGTGAAAAGGTCAGGAGCTGGGATGGCAGCTCCACTGCAGGCTCAGCCATGGTCTCCTTAGAAAGGGAGAGATTTCTAATAGAAAAAGGGAGTTCTGAACCAAGGAGAAGTCATGGTCACTGATTGCATGATTCCATACACTGGTTTTTGGCTGGGATTTGTTTTCTGGAGAGGACACAGAGCAGTGTGAAAAGGTCAGAGCTGGGATCCAGGGATGGCAGCTCCACTGCACATGGCTCAGCCATGGCTTCCTTAGAAAGGAGAGATTCCCAAGAGAAAAAAGGGAGATGTGAACCAAGGAGACCAACCAACCATGGTCACTGCTGCCAGGCTGCTTGAGACATTGGTTTTTGGGTGGGATTTATTTTCTAGAGAGGACAGAGAGCAGTGTGAAAAGGTCAGAGCTGGGATCCAGGGATGGCAGCTGCCTCCTGCAGCTCCACTGCACATGGCTGCAGGCTCAGCCATGGCTTTCTTACAAAGACAGAGATTCCCAAGAGAAAAAGGGAGTTTTGCACCAAGGAGAAGTCATGGTCACTGCTGCCAGGCTGACTGCAAACATTGGTTTTTGGGTGGGATTTGTTTTCTAGAGAGGACACAGAGCAGTCAGGAACTGGCCTTCCAGGGATGGCAGCTGCCCCCTGCAGCTCCACTGCACATGGCTCAGCCATGGCTTCCTCAGAAAAGGAGAGATTTCTAATAGAAAAAAGGGAGTTTTGAACCAAGGAGAAGTCATGGTACTGCTGCCAGGCTGACTGAGACATTGGTTTCTGGGTGGGATTTATTTTCTAGAGGACACAGAGAAGTGTGAAAAAGTCAGAGCTGGGATCCAGGGATGGCAGCTCCACTGCACATGGCTCAGGCATGGCTTCCTTAGAAAGGAAGAGATTTCTAATAGAAAAAAGGGAGTTTTGAACCAAGGAGAAGTCATGGTACTGCTGCCAGGCTGACTGAGACATTGGTTTCTGGCTGGGATTTATTTTCTAGAGGACACAGAGCAGTGTGAAAAGGTCAGAGCTGGGATCCAGGGATGGCAGCTGCCTCCTGCAGCTCCACTGCACATGGCTGCAGGCTCAGCCATGGCTTTCTTACAAAGACAGAGATTGCCAAGAGAAAAAGGGAGTTTTGAACCAAGGAGAAGTCATGGTCACTGACTGCATGATTCCATACACTGGTTTTTGGCTGGGATTTATTTTCCTGAGGACAGAGAGCAGTGAAAAAGTCAGGAAAGGCCACTGGTCCTTCCACCAGCAGCCACAGTGGTCCAATGGCCAGCAGAGGAAGGTTATTCCACCTCTAAGGGAACCACAAGCTACAAATTTAACAGATCAAAACCTTCTCAGAGACACCCAGCCCACAGCTTTTTTTTGCTGCAATAATTATACATGGTCAAGGATTTGTGAGTTTAATAGTTTTAGGGAGCAATTCCCAAGGCACAGCTGTCAGCTCTCTGAAATCCCATCAAAGCTTGCAGGAATTCAGCAATTTTAGCAGAATATCAATGCTCTTAGTTGGAACAATACTGAGGATTCTGACAGAAAAACTGAGATGCTTCAAACAGCCAAGAGTGGTGGAAAGATGTTTATAAAGTAATCAGACTTCACCTGTATCTCCAGCAGTTTTTCTGTAGTGAATCTTTATGTTTCTCTAAACAGAGAAAAATATTTAAGCAAAAGAAAGAAACAAAATTCCTAATTTTACAGCTTTCATGGGGTCTGATGGATTTCAATTCAATTATTCAGTCCAGACTGTAACAGCAGTTATTAGAAGTTAGCAATGAAATTAGAAGTTGAAGGGATCATAGAGAGTTATTATGACAAAGAAGTATCTTGGTTTTTGGGCACCATGTACATCATGGACAAATAAAAGGGGAAAAATAAAGAGAAGCAAAAAATAAAAGGGGAAAAATAAAGAAAAGCAAAAAAAAAGGGGAAAAATAAAGAAAAGCAAAAAAATAAAAGGGGAAAAATAAAGAAAAGCAGCACTCTGAATATGTGCAACAGTAATAAAGGAGTTTAGGAGGAGAAGGAAAAATGACTTAAGAAGAAATTGAGAATTTTTTTTTTTAATTAGAAGCTCCCTGAAGTTAAATGTACCATTTCAGCTGTATATAGAGAAAAATATTTAGCTAAAAGAAACAAACCAAATTCCTAATTTTACAGCTTTCATGGGGTCTGATGGATTCCAACTCAATTATTCAGTCCAGACTGTAACAGCAGTTAATTAGAAGTTAGCAATGAAATTAGAAGTTGAAAGGATCATAGAAAGTTATTAGGACAAAGAATTATCTTGATTTTTGGGCACCATGTACATCATGGATTTGCATGGACAAAGAAAAGTGGGAAAATAAAAGAGTAAAGAGGACTCTGAATATATGCAGCAGTAATAAAGGAGGTTGGAGGACAAGGAAAAATGACTTAAGAAGAAATTGAGAATTTTTTTAAAATCAGAAGCTCCCTGAAGTGAAATGTACCATTTCAGCTGTAGCATTGAATAGGAGAAATTGCCAGAGCCTGGAGGGTAAAGAATTGAAAGGATGATGAAGAGAGCATCAGCAGGATTATGAAATGCCATGGGCAGGTCAGGGAAAAGCAGGTGGAGACAGGGAAAGTGAACCAAACAGTCCCAACTGAGCCAAAAGGGAGCAGGGAATTGAATGATTCTCTTGGAAATATCAGCACATCAAACCAGGAATTGTTTCAATGCACATCATTGAGTGAACTGTGTAGTGTTATATGGCAGGTGAGTGCCTTGCACTGTGAGGAGTTTGAATTTATTAATTGATTAATTAAAACAGTTTTTGTGCTTTCTCAGCTATCTAGTCAATCTTCTGCCATAACCCAGGGTGTGCTGCCCTGTCCTGGGGCTCAGCAGAGTGTTTTTGAGAGGAAGATAATGAATAAATTAATCAATTAAATTAATCCATGAACCCTGCACAAACTACAGGTACAAAATCAGATTCAAATCTGGTTACAGCCAACACTTTCCACTGCTGTGGAGAGCAGACTCTGGACCTCAGAGAAACCCTTCTCATGCTCCACCAAAATAAAATAAATAAAAGTGCTTGGGAAATGTTGCTCCCTGTGACACACAAAATCCCCAGCATGAGATCTGAGGCCTGGTCATAGAGGAGCCCAAGTTGTGTAACTGTTTTTGGTATTTAGTTCAAGCAGCTTTTAAAAGCTTTACAAATGAGTTTAAAATAATTACAGGGTATTCATTAGTGCACTTTATAGAGGCACAGATTCAGCCCAAGTGCAGGGAAGAAACCAAGCAAAAATAGTCTTTCCAAGCCTGATTTACCAGGCTGGTCCAAGACAATCCTAACAGTTCTAGTCTCACACATTTTATTGTCTCCCTGAGGGAAAATTGCAGAGGAACTCTCTCAAGGAGCACCTAACTGTCCTTATAATAGTTTAAACAGGATTCTCAGCCATCCACAGCAATGAAGAAATGATGGCCCTGCTCTCAGAGCTCAAGCAGGTCCCCCACTCCCTTCACCCTCAGTTACACCACAGTGAGCACAACAGCACAGAAAAAACCACTTGTGAACATTCAGATGAGCCCTAGAACACGGTTTCATACTCTTCACTGAGTGTCAGGCTGTCATTTTATAAATATATTTAGCTTTTAAAGAACAAACCCCAATGCCACACTTGTAGGGAAAATAAGGCCTCTTAAAAACAGACTGCAATAAGTTTCTGTGGAGGCTGAGCTTGCTCTGAAAGGAGCCAAAAACCTTATCAGAACATTCTGCCCTGCAGACAAGAGCCAACTCTGCTTGATAGATGGTAATTTTAAAAAATCACAGGTCAAAAGCAACAGAATAACCTTTTCCCCCAGCTGCTGGGAGGTCCCATCCCATTCCAAGGTGGTTTAGAGTGAAGCACCTACTTGCTGTCTGTCCTTTTGTTGTAGATGAGGAAGTCAGACACGTCGTGCCACACCTCACTGTCCTCGTACAGGTAGGTCATGGAGGACTGCAGGGAGGGCTGCAGAGTGTGCCTGTGGTATTCAAAGAGCCACAGCACTGTCCCCCAGACCAGGGCAGCCAGCAGAGGGAAGGGATCCTGCCTGGGCTGGGGGATGTAGCCCTTCTCCACAGCCAGCCGGGACAGCCCGAACAGGATGCGGGACAGCAGGTACATGATGATCTGCAGAGGAGAAATGTGGGGATCCACAAAATCAGAGGGTTCTGGGAAAGCTGCAAAAGGCAGCCCTCAGAGACAGCAGAACTGTGAGTAGAGCTAAGCAGCAGCCATGAGATTGGTCAGCAGAAAAATTATTTAGAAAGTAGAAAAGCAAGGACAAATAGAACAATGGTCTGTGTATTAACACTTGTTTAGAATAACTCCCTAAGCTACAGAAAAGTTTATCTAGAGAGATATTAGGGAGTTTGAAGGTTAATAATGGAGCTCTGTGCATTGTGCTTTAAGGCTCACAAGCAGGTATTGTATTTGAAATAAGCAAGCATTGTTTAACCAAAGGTACCTGTGCTTATAGTGGTTGGATAGAACTACTGTCAATGTGCTTTTGCTTGGTGGGATTGGTTAAAAAACTTATAAAGTGAGATGTAACATTAAGTTCTGGGTCTGCTGCCTGGGATGTGAGCTGGTGGCATCTTCCCATTGTCATAACCATGGAATGAGAGTGATGCTGGAAAATAAAACAGCTCAAGGCACGTTCCAGCAGTCCTGTCCTGTTGGTGATTTGTACAGAGACCCCTGGCTGGTGACAGAGAAGCCCAGGGAGCAGGGTGAGAACTGAGCACAGCCACCTCCAGGGCTTCACAAGTGACAATGCAGCCAGGAGGGACAGGAACAACTCCCCCACTTCAAAGCAAACAGGCTGTCATTGCCCCTACCAGCACTGTGCCAAAACTCTGTCTCCTGCAGGGCCTGCTGCTCTGACTTGGCAATCACAGGCTGCATTGCATGCAGCACTGCTGGGCACTTGCACAACTTCTGCCTCTGCCCAGCTCATTCCACCTCAGACAGTGCTGATAGAACAGTCCTGCCAAGCAGATGGGAGCTCAGGAGGCTGGACACAGCCTAACACCAGGCCTGGCTTAAGTCAAGCACTTGGGATTAATCTGCAGCTGTTTTACTCCCTGGTTTGTGACTGTGTGTTAACAACCAGCTTTAAATCAAACACCCCCTGAGCAGCTCTCATCAGTTTAACCAGTTTAGTGGTGAGTTTAACCAGTTTAGTGGTGAGTTTAGCTGTCAGATTAATCAGTTTAGCTGTCAGTTTAACCAGTTTAGCTGTCATTTTAGTTGTCAGTTTAGCTGTCAGTTTAGTTGCCAGTTTAGCTGTCAAGATTAACCAGTTTATTTGTCATTTTAGTTGTCAGTTTGGCCAGTTTAGTTGCCAGTTTAGTGGTCAGTTTACCCAGTTTAGTGGTCAGTTTAACCAGTTTAGCTGTTAGATCAACCAGTTTAGTGGTCAGTTTAGTTGCCAGTTTAACCAGTTTAGTTGTCAATTTATCTGTCAGATTAACCAGTTTAGTGGTCAGTTTAGTTGCCAGTTTAACCAGTTTAGTTGTCAATTTATCTGTCAGATTAACCAGTTTAGTGGTCACTTTAACCAGTTTAGTTCAGTCCAGCTCTAACTGATCAAGTTCTACACTCACAACACTTCAGGTGAGGAGTTTAACCCTGTGATGGCCAGACAGGAACACACAGGTAGTGAGCACAGCTCAGGTGACAGGGGGGATAACCCCACAGCTCTGGGTTTGACTGCCTTCCTACAAACCCAGTGCAGCTCTGGAGGCAAACTTGGGTTTCCAGCACTGCAAGTGGAGACACACAGCCACAGCTGGGACTTGAGTGCAGAGCAGTCAACACTGCAATTTGTGCAGAGAAAAAGAAAAAAAGAGCTCCTGTTTCTGGTCAGAACCACCAGAAATAGGTGCCCCCAACCAGTTCCTGGCACATCTATTGTTTTTCCTGGCCAGAGAAACTTTCAGCAAGTGCCTTTACCTGGCTGTTGATGGGATTGTTGTCACCAAACACCAGCCAGCCCCCAATGCAGGCTGCAAGGAAGGAATGGAATGGGATTTTTTTCCCCTGCAGGCGGGACTGGGCTGCCAGGAGCCCTTTGTAGGTGAACACAAAATAAGCCAGGTTCCGGGAGTGAGCATACGTGGCCTGGGCAATGGACTTCAGCTTCTCCCTGAAACTGAGGGAAAGAGACAATCACAGGAGAGAAAAGGCAAGATCCTGCACCCACAGCCTAGGCACTGCACTCCCCACCTGCACTGATGGTTTGGGCACCCCAGGAATGTCTTAGGAAGGAGCTCTGGCTTCCCTCATCAGAGCACAGCCCTGCCTACACTGTGGACTGTGTTTTATTTTCTCACTACTCAAACAGCCCTTTTAAAACTTTTTTATTGCTAAATACAAACCTCTGGCACTCAGGGAAAGGCACAACGTGCACTGCTATAGCCTGGGTTCCCTTATTTCAACACAGGACAGAACATTGCTACTGGCATCTGTTAATTCTTCCTCTGTCCTCAGCAACCATTGCATGAGTGATTCAATCCCTCAATTATATATATTTGTGTGTGCTTCACTATCAGGACAAGGCTCAACCATGGTTCACACATTTTTCTGCTTTTTAAACCCCCTCCAAACATAGAAAACGAACAGCTGTGATGAAAACGTTCTAAGCAGCAACACAAAACCACAGAATTAGTGTTTGTACCTTCCACTCTTGAACAGGAAAGTCATCACCAGGGCGTGTGGGGCACGGATTTTGGCTCCATAACTGTAAAGGTGGACAAATATTTCACAGGGTTCGTTTTACACTACGAAATTCTTTTATTTCTAGTCTACTAACAGACAAAAAAAAGGTTATTTAGCCAAGTATCTATTACTTTTAAGCCAGCCCAGCAGCAGCAGCACAGCAAACCGGGGGGAGCCGAGCAGGAGGGAGAAGAGTACACGCACCTCAGCGAGCCAGACCCCAACGTGACTCTAAACTCTCAGGCCCCAAGGGGGCCCTAACCCAGCCCAGGCCACCCCAACTGCGGCTGAGGGGAGCGGAACCGCCTCCCCCTCACAGCCCCCCGGGAGGGATGGAGACCCCGCGGCCCGGGCCCGGCACTCACACGGCGCCGTTTCGGAAGCCCTTGATGACGGCGAGCGCGGCGTGGTAGCGGCGCTGCTGCAGGAGCGCGTTGGCAGCGCGGAGCAGAGCGCGAAGCGAATCCCCACCGCCCGCCATGGCCCCGCCGGCCACAGCGCCCTGCCGCACGCCGCTTCCGGGGCACCGCCCCGCCCGCCGCTCCCATAGGCCGGCACTGCTGTCAATCATGGCTCTCGGCCAATAAACGGCACCACCTCACTCTCTCATTGGTGCGGATAGTCTGTCCTGCAGCCAATGGGCGCCGAGGGAGGCGTCCCGCCCACCCGCTCCGTGAGGGCGGCGGGCGCCGCTGTGAGCCCGGCCCGGCACAGCCCGGTCATGGGCCGGGGGTCGTGGCCGCCGCGGCCACGCCGGGAGCCCCAACAGGGCAGGGGCGGCCACCGGGCGGTCCCTGCCCGGTCTGCGCGGGCTGTCGCAGTGCCGGTCCGCCGCGCCCCGAGTTGAACACGACCCCCCGCCCCCGGGGCCTCCCCCACCTCTCCCGCGCTGTAGGCCCGTAGCGGGCGGCGGGCGCCCCCTGGCGGCGCCGCTGCCGCCGCCGCTCCAAGATGGCGCAGGCGATCTTCGAGGCGCTGGAAGGTAACGGGGCCAGACCGGGGCCGCGCCGGGACCTCCCGGGCCGCGGCCACAGCCGGGGTGCGCGACCCCCGCTCCTCCGAGCTCCCCCTGTCCAGCGCCGCTGCCGCGCGGGTCGCGGGGCCGCCGCGGGGCTGCCCCGTGAGGCCCGGCCCGGCGCGGCGTGTGGCGCTCCCGGGAGCCCCGCGCTGTCTCCCGCGCTGCTGCTCCGCTGCCCGCACCGCAGGCACGGCTGCAGCCCCCGCCGGCAGCCCCCGCCGCAGCCCGGGGCTCGCCACGCCGTCCGCGGCTCCGTGCGGCGCCGCTGTCACCTCCGGTCCCCCGGCCCTGTGCCACCTCCTGCCTGTGCACCGCGGTGCACCGCATCCCTACCCTGTGCCAGTGCCCGACGGCACAAGGCATTCTATGCTTTCCTTGCCCTGTGCCTGCTGCTCTGGGGCGCCTCATCCCCACCCTGTCCCTGCTGCTCTGGGGCACCTCATCCCCACCCTGCCCCTATCCCTGCTGCTCCTGGACACTCCATCCCCATCCTGTCCCTGCTGCTCCTGGACACTCCATCCCCATCCTGTCCCCGCTGCTCCTGGATATTCTATTCCTATCCTGCCCCTGCTGCTCCTGGACACTTCATCCCTATCTTGTCCCTGCTGCTCCTGGATATTCCATCCCCATCCTGCCCCTGGTGCTCCAGGCCCTCTGACCCCCTCCCTGCTCCTGTGCCCACCAGGGCATTCCCATCACCCCTGTCTCTGTGCCCAGGAAGCAGCACCAGCAGTGCCCAGGGCACTGTCACCGCCCCTGCACCCCCCGTGTCCCTGCATGCTGGGGTCCCCCATCCTCCCCATGGCCCAGGGCTCACTCTGCCAGTCCCTCTGCTGTGCCATGCTCCGTGCCAGCCCCTGGGATAGTGCCTGGGTGGGTGCTTGCCCCTGCATGTGTGTTTTGAGGGGTGTGCTCTTGGCACAGCCCGGGCAGTGCCTGTTGTGTGGGTGAACAGGTTGTGCTCAGATCCATCTCACTTTAGTGCTGGGACACTGTTACAGCCAGGTGCCATCCGAGGATGAGGTGCCAAGCTGTGGCAGTCTGACATTGGGCTAGGGGCTACTTTCTTTGGAGAGAAACTATTTCATAGGTATTGATTTCCTAAATTGGATTACAGGAGTATTTTCCTTTACATGCCAGCACTGCCTGGAAGGTGTGACATGGAGATTGTTACCTGTGCCTTTGAGTATCACCTGTGACCACACCAGCAGAGAATAAATATTTTTTTCTCTCTTTTGTCAGGTTACTTGGTGCATTTGCCAGCACCCTCGTGTAGAATCAGGTCCCTATTTCCTCTCTGCAATCGGCTCCTCATTGTGTTAGTTTCCCTGCAGCATTTAGGACAGCAAAGCTTTTTAGCAAATTGAAAAAGAGTGGGGGTTTTTTAAGCCCGCAGCAATTGGCAGCTTTTAGTGCCTGAGCTTGTTTGTTTTGTCTTGTTGATTGGATTACAAGTCGATGGTGACTTGGCATTCTTAGAGCAGCCTGGTCTCAGAGTGCTGCAGGGCACAGGTGCATTTTTACCTGTCCCTAAAGCACCTGGTGCTCCTGTCAGAAAAAAAGGCTTTATCACAGGGGTAAATTACCACCTGGACACTCCTGCTTCATCTCCAGCTGAGAGAAATTTGAAAGGGAAGACAAAAAGGACAGATCAGTCAGTAGTCCTGTGCTTTTATCTTGGCTTCCCCAAATCACTTTGGTTTTGTCAGGCTCTGGGCACCTCAGCTCCTGCTGCTGCCAGGAGAGAGGAGCTGGGATTTTTCAGTTCCATGGCTGAAGAGCATCTTGCAGGCTGGTGCTGGCTGTAGGCAGGGCAGGATCGATGCAGAGCTTTCTCCTGGAGTCTGTGCATGGCTGTGACTGGCATCCATGTAACCAAGTAACTGCCAGCTTGGCTCCATGCCTTGCTAGCCATGTCCTCAGGGGTTTCCCCCGGGAAGTGTGGTGCTGTGCAGTTACTGGGTGAAGTGCAGGGGCTCTGAATTGCCAAAGAAATATTTCTGGTGTCCTGGGCCATTTCTCTCCATCAAGAGGCTGAGTGCAACACTGACAATGTTGCTGCATCATTGTGTTCAGATCTTGGCCTCTCCTGAAGCTTCTTCCTCTTCGTGGCATCAAGGCAATTGTTTGGCTTTTTTCCTTGGAGGATCTGACTGTGCCAGAAGGAAACCCAGTGCCAGGCATACCAAGAGTGGCACTGGTTGTGCAGTAGCAATTATCCCCATACTACACTTCACCTGAATTTTTGATCCTTATTTTCCCCCCTAGCTTATTTTTGCTGGAGAAATGCTGCTCCATGCCACTGTGTGCTTTAAGGCTGCAGTGCTCCCTTTGCAGTTGCCCAGAGGTTCTTGGTGCAGGGAGGTGAATTTTAGAGCAGGGCTTTGGCTGGAGAGAGGAATCCTCCCAGCACTGTTCTGCCAGTGGGGCTGAGCTGCAGGGCTGCCTCCAGCCCTCCCTGCAAGCCAGGGCTTGCTCAACTGGACCTGCAGCTTTGCTGTGCCTCTGATCTGTGTGAAAGGCTTCCCATAGGCATGGTGGGAATTTGATGGGAGTGTGTGATGTACTGGGACCTGCTGCCTCCCAGCAGCTGCTTGTGCCCCTGGAGGATGGTGCTCTGCTCTCTCTCAGGGACACGAGCAGGGCTTGCAGCATCTCCTCAGTGAAAGGATGAAGAAAGTGTTCACAGAATCTTAATGTGACATACAGGGGAAATGAGTGTTTAGGGTCTCTTTAAAAGCTGTAGTTTATATGGGTACTCCCCACCAGGAAGGTAACATTCCAGTTGTTCAGGAGAAATTCTGGGAGAGGAACTTGAGGTGGTGGATGCTCCTGCTGTGCTGATCCCTTATGCTGTGGTCTGCTGTGGTGTTTCACTGTCTTTCCTGCTGCTGTCTGCTGAGCAACCTCCCCCCATCTCAGCACAGTCCTCACCTCACTGCTTAGGAGTGATCAAACCCATTGATTTTCCTTTCCTGTGGCACATCATTCTGAGTTCAGAGCTTTGCACTTTTGTTTTGCAAAGATCTGGAAGTGAAAAATCACCTAAGAACCCCCTAGCTTTCTTCTCTCCCTTAATCCACAAGATCTAACATACAACCTTGCTGTTCCATTTGCTTCCTTTGTGAGTTCTGTGTCATAAAAGAGTGATAGGAAGGAGTGGTAAAAATCACTCCTTTTTGCTCTTTTTCTCCCAAAATCAGGTTGTCCTTTGTGTCTTTACATCCAATTTCTAAATAGAGTGTGTCATGCTTAATCCACAATCCCATGCTGCTGGCCAGGTTGTCTCCCTAGATGAGCAGTCCCAATCTTCTGTATTTATCTGGAATATTGGAAAACATTTTAGCTGTAGTGAAAAATGTTTGTGCCAAAGCTGACTCTAACAACAAATCAGGCTGGGTGTGTGTGCCCTGTGTCTGATCAGATCTGGGAGTGCTGGCCTTGGGAGCAGGGAGGCATTTGTGACACTGCTGCTGGGAGAGCAGGAGGGGAGCACAAGGATTTTGTGTGCCCTGAGCTTGGTGTCTGTGCTGCATCCCCAGGCAGTTCCACCCAGGCTTCTGCCCTGTGACATCCCCACATTCCTGTGACATTCTCAGCTCCTCTCATATCCAGGGTTATAAACATCCTTCCTTTCTGCAGCAAGTGCCTGAAACCAAACCCCCTGTTGGCTTTCCCTGCCCTTCTTCCCTTCTCTTTTTGCACCAAAGGACTCCTGCAGACAGGTGGAGGTGTTGCTGTTGTGTGGGAGTTGGTGCTGTGGGGTAGAGGGTGACAAGGTGACAGTGGCTCAGGGAGGAGGGAGCAGCAGCTGCAGGGTGTCCCAGTGCCCAGACAGCCCAGTGTGGCTGTGTTCAGTTCACCACCCATGCTTTGTCTCCTTTCAGGGATGGATAACCAGACAGTGCTGGCTGTGCAGTCCTTACTGGATGGGCAAGGAGGTGTCACGGACCCGTCTGCTGCCACTGTCAACTCCTCCGCCGCCATCCAGCCCATGGGTGAGTCCTGCTGGCACTGGGACAGAGGCCAGGCAGGAGGGCTGCACAACAGCTGGGTGTGTAGGGCACTGCTGTGAGTGTTGGGAGCCCTCAGCAGGACCACACTGAGCAGGAAGAAGGGACAAGTGCCCAAGCGAGCAGTGATGTTTTTAGAGAGAGTCATGGCAACAGACTTGACCATGAGCTTCCAATAAAGACACAAAGGGAGGGAGAAGCCACTGTCCCCACATCTAGTGCCTGTTACTGTTCATGTTTTTTGTTTAATATCCACTCCTCCTCTAGAGATGCTCAAGTGCTCCAGTCCTGGAATATCTCTGTGGTAATGGCTATGGAAACTGGTCATTTATGTGCATGTGGACCCTCACAGTGCTGGCCTAGAATGTGTTGGGTGGATGGGGAGTTATCCCCCAAGGAGTTACAGTCTGTGTCCCCAAAAAAGATCAGCTTCAGGCTGTGACTTAGGCAGGGGA